CCTTACCTGGCCATGTGCCGCTTCACCTGGGCCACGGATTCGCTCAGAGCCTCGTCCAGGGAATCCCTGAAAAGCAGGGAGACAGTCGGGAGGAGGGACACAATTCCCACCCCAATCCCAAATTTCGGGGGGGGGGGATTCTGTGGAATTTTTCGGGGGGGAAGTTTGCAGTAAAAAAAATGTTAAAAATTGCCGAAAATGGCCAAAAATGGCACTGAAGGTCCTGGTTTTCAGGGACATCAAACACCCCCCTCCCCCCCTTCCCAAAAATCCTTGGAGGGGGGAGAGCAGGGGATGGGGATTTTGGGATGGGCAGGACGGAGAGGAAAGGCGGGAAAATAAAACCACGGAGCGGTTTGGGTTGGGAAAGGCCTGGAGGGTGATCCAGGGTCACCCCCTGGTGACATTTCATGCCCCAGGTGACTCCAAATCCCAGTCCAACCCGGCCTGGGGCACTTCCAGCTCATTAAGATGTTAAATTAACCCAAACCATGGGAATTTTTGAGGCTGGAAAAGCCTCTGAGACCTTCAAATCCCGACACCGCTGCCAAGGCCACCCCTGAGATGTGTCCCCACTGTCCCCAACCAACCCCCAGGTTTTTTTGGGCACTTCCAGGGATGCGATTCCACTCCCTCCTGTGCCCAGGGCTGGAAAAAAAAGGGATTATTTTCCCCCAAAATCCAAGCTGATGAGCCCCCCCGCCCCCTCACCCTTTGGGATCCTCCACGCAGTCCCGGAGCGTCCCATCCCGGCTCAGCCTCTGCACCAACCGCTCCAGCTCCGCCGACACCGACTGCACTGCAGGGGGGGAAAAAACGACGGGATAACCGGGATAAAACAGCCCTCTGGAAAACCAGGAACAGCCAGGAACAACCCCCAGGTCCCGCTCCGAGCCTCGGTCCGAGTTATTCATTCCACAGGTTTTAAGGAATTAAAAGGAGGGGGGGGAAAATCAAACCCCCTGAGATCTCGCAGCGCCTTCCCCCGCCTCTTGGAAAAACCCAATTCCCAAATTTCCAGGAGGATTTCAGTTTCCAGGGGGAGAATCCCTGGTTTTTTTGAGCCTTTGTGATGCGGCAGCCCCAGCCTCACCCTTGGCAGCGAAAGCCTGGGGGTTGAATCCCTTCCTGCGCTTCAGGGCCTGCTCGAGCTTCTGGGCAGTGAACTGGGGGGGGAAAAAAAAAGGGGGAAAAAATAGGGTTTATCCAGGAAAAATAGGGAGAGTCAGCTTTTATCCCCATCTCCTGGCAAAAGGGAAGTCAGCTTTTATCCCCGTTTTGCGGGAGGAGAAAGGAATCCCCACCCCCTGTGAGGGGTCAGTGACACGAACGCCACGGGCATTTGGTGGGAAAAGGGGGAAAAAAAGGCATTTTTAAGGAAAAAAAAAAAAAAAAAAAGGAATCTACCTGGAAACAGGAGAGGATCAGCGTGGAGAGGCGCTCAGTCTCAGGCAGGTCCAGGCTGATGGATTTGCTTAGCTCTGAAAAATGAGGGTAGAGGTGGGTGAGAGTGATTAAACTCGCAGAAAAAGGGTGGGATGGGCTCTGCAGCTCCCAAAGGATGTTGTTGGGCGGGAATGGGGGGGGCAGGATGTGGAGGGAGCAGGGGAAAGGGAGAAAAAGGGGAGAAAAAGGGGAGAAAAAGGGGAAAAAGGGGGGAAAAAGGGGAGAAAAAGGGGAGAAAAAGGGGAGAAAAAGGGGAGAAAAAGGGGAAGAAGAAAGGGAGGAAAAGGGGAAAAAGAAAGGGAGAAAAAGGGGGAAAAGGGAGAAAAAGGGGAAGAAGAAAGGGAGAAAAAGGGGAAGAAGAAAGGGAGAAAAAGGGGGAAAAAGAAAGGGAGGAAAAGGGGAAAAGAAAGGGAGAAAAAGGGGAAAAAGAAAGGGAGGAAAAGGGGAAAAGAAAGGGAGAAAAAGGGGAAGAAGAAAGGGAGAAAAAGGGGGAAAAGAAAGGGAGAAAAAGGGGAAAAAGAAAGGGAGAAAAAGGAAAAAGAAAGGGAGAAAATTGGTAAGAAGAAAGGGAGAAAAAGGGGAAGAAGAAAGGGAGGAAAAGGGGAAAAAGAAAGGGAGAAAAAGGGAGAAAAGGGGGAAAAAAGGGAGGAAAAGAGGAAAAAGAAAGGTAGAAAAAGGGAAAAAGAAGAGAGAAAACCAGGGAAAAAGAAAGGGAGAAAATGGGAGAAAAGAAAGGGAGGAAAAGGGGAAAAGAAAGGGAGGAAAAGAGGAAAAAGAAAGGGAGAAAATGAGAGAAAAGAAAGGGAGAAAAAGGGCAAAAAGGAGAAAAAGGGGGGGAGAAAGGGAGGAAAAGAGGAAAAAGGGAGAAAATGGGGGGAAAAAGGAGAAAAAAGGGAAAAAAGAAAGAGGAAAAGTCACCCTCAAGGACCAAGAGTCAGGGAATCAAAAGGCAGGAGCTGCAAAATCCTCCCGGGCAGAAGATCCAGTGCAGCATCCCCGCTGACCCTCGGACCCCCCCCTGGGCTTCCCAGAGGGATCCGGGCGGGTTTTAATCAGGAAATTAAGCCCTAACGAGGCCGAGGAGCACCCACCAGCGACGTCCCCGTGGACGGGGGGCAGGGATTTGCGGCGCTTGCCGCCCTTGAGGCTGGAGCGGCGCCAGGAGCGCCGTTTGCCCTGGGGGGTGGCCACGAGGGGGGACAGGCCGAAGGAATTCGGGCTCTGCTCCTGCCTGGGGCTGCTCCCCCTTCTCCGGGGGCTGCTCCTCAAGGGGCTCAGCCTCGGCTTGGGGGTGCCCAGGCGTCTTTTCCGGAGGGATGATGATGATCCAGGGGTTCTGGCGGCCGGTGGTTTCAGGAAGGGCTCAGCACCCGCCTCCTCCTTCGCTCCAGGCTGGGGATCTGAGGGGAAAAAGAGGCGAAATCGGCACGTTTAGAGGGGTAAAAAGAGACTCAGCGGTGCTGGTGGGGGGGGCCCTTCCAACTCAGGGTATCCAGGATTGTATGAGAGGAGAGGGTTTTCCCGAGGAGTCCAGAGGGATGAACGTGTTCTCTGGGCTTTTATTTTTAACTGGGAA